CTCCCCGCTTTGACTATCTTATGCACTATATATTTGATTGTATACATTTTTTATTAACTCTTGCACTAGACTGTCGGCCCCAGAAGAGCAGAGGTTTTGTCTATTTTGTTTGCTGCTGCATTGTAGGTGTCCAAGGAAGACCTGTGAATGAATGAATCTGGTCCACCCTCTGGGGTGGGGCGCCCCGCTCCAGAGAGAGCCTGTTGAGGGAGACATGGGCACCTCCTGGACGTCACACACCAGTCCTCCTGTCTTTTTCTGGTCCCAGCTCTTGTTTTTTTTCCTGTACAGACTCGCCCCTCTCCCCCCTCCCCCCCCCCAGTCCTCACGCCAGCCTCGTGGGAGGCGGCATCTTGCGGAAATGTCAAAGCACTGCTGTGCTCATTGTACTAGGTTTGGCGGTGACCTTTCCCCAAAGGCTATGGATCCTGGGTTTTCATTTACAGTCATAATTTAGAGCCTCCTTATAAAATAATATTGAAGTCTCAGGAGAGTAAGTCTGGTTGAAGAAAATTTCCAATAGAACAGACGGCCCTGGGAGGCCGCAGGTCTTACCCTCCCTCCGGGCCGGGGCCGGCCACCCTCCCCTTGGGATCTTAGAGCCCGCCCGCGTGCCCGGGGTCACGGGCTCTCTGACCCAAGGACACACGTGAACAAGACCTTGGCTTCCGTGTGCCTCTTCCTCTCCCACCTACTGGGGAAGAAGCCCCGCCCAGACCATGCGGGTCTCTGAGGTCCCCCAAATCCAGGCGTGTTCCTAATGGCTTTGAACATGTGTTGACAATTGAGGCCACTTATTGACTGATACGCCCTGGGACCAGTTCCCCTGGGCATCTGATGCTTCCGGGTGACAGCTCAGGGAGGCGTGTCAAACGCAGGGAGGGGAAGGAAAAATGAACCCACGCCTCTCCCCCCACCGCCTTGCAATCAGGAAGCCAGACGAGGGGCCCCTCCTCGGGGCTGCGTCCCGCACCAGTCCTCCCAGCCAGACCCTAATGAGGATCGACGGCTGGTTTCCGTCCTGGGACTGGAAGAAAGCCTGGAATTATCTCAGGGACGACGTCTCCAGCCCCGAGAACGTCGGAACTGCCACACGGATGGGCAGAAAATAGCAGATGATGAATTTTTTAGGACCGCCCTCTGCGTGCCGGTTGTCGCGGACTGTGAGATAATGTGCTGGCCTTTCTGGGAACATGCATTATTGATCCGGGTCTGTCTAGTGGTTTATAAAAAGCCCTTCCTTTTCCCGTCCCACTGCCACCTTCCCGCCCCTCACCTCCTGGAACAAGGGCGGCCTCCTTCCAAGGCCGGTTCTGTCACCGGAGGGGCTGGCTCCCTAGGGGACGGGAAGGCATGCAGGTGCGGATCTACGCAAGTTAGTGGGGAGGGGTGGGAATGGACAGATGCCACGGGACACGCGGGCTCTAAACTCACCCCCTACCACATCCGCTTCCTGGAATGCACGGTTCAGAATCACTTCTTAGCTAGGTGTGTGCGAAGGCATGTGGATAAAGACATTTCTGGCAACAGCACTTGTACCAGTGAAAACGAACAAACACACCGACAATCTGGAAACAACAGCCATCCCAGAAGACAGGTTAACAAGCAGAGCAGTGCTGAAGAGCACGGGCTCTGGGTTCGAATCCCGCTCAGCCACGTTCTAGCTGTGTGACCTTGGACAAGTACCTTCACTCCTCTGTGCCTCCGTCTCTTCCTCTATACAACGGGGACAGGGAATCTGTGTGTTTGAAGTAAGCCACGATTTCCTCTGCTCTTCTCTCTCTCCTGGGTCCTCATCACACCACAGCTCCTTTTCCCCATTTGCATATTCTGTTGGTTTGATTGGCAAGTTCCTGATGCAAACTTACAGTCGGATTCTGACATGACTAGAGCACGCGGCTGCCGCTGCAGGAAAATGTGCTGTTCCTACAAACGGGTGCTCGGTGACTCACCCCGGCTCAGGCTGGACACTGAGGAGTCACCTTGAAGTCCTCTTTTCCTTCACCCCCGCCTCCCATCCACTCACCACGGTCTCCCCACTTCGGCTCTGGTCCCAGCTTCCAGGGTCACCCGCCCAGTCAGGGCACTGGCCTCTGAATGGGCGTTCCTGTCTCTGCAATCTAGTTGCAGCCTAACGGTCACAGGGACCCTGCGGAAACCTTAGGTAGGTCCTGTACGCCCACCCCAGTCCACGTCTCCTTCACTAAGAATCAAACTCAAAACCCTCACCGGGCCCACAAGGCTCCCTCGACCTGGTCCCGGTGGACTCCTGGCCTCTTGTCTCCGCCCCCCAACTCCGGCTCACAGGCACCCTTTCTGTCCCCAACCACCAAGCTCGTTTCTAACTCAGCATCTTCGCCTTTTCCGGTCTCTGCCTAGAACCATCCTTCCCAGTCCCGAAGCTCCCAGGACAGTGCGCTGCACAGCGCAGGTGCCTCACACACATCTGCGGGATGCACGGGTGAGCGTCCAGTGCACCTGGGTTCCCCAGACACAGCTACGACCCAAACAGCTCGAGGGGCCCCCCCGGGGCAAGGCGACAGTGCTCCAAGGCTCCGTGCTCCTGCACCTGCTGTCTGCAAAACTCCGCCAGAAACAGCACTGGCTTTCCTATGGGCACGGTCTGCAGACGCCCCGGGGTTATCAAGCGGCTCAGGCCAACGGGTGCCGGGAGATAGGGGTCGTGTGTGTCACACTGCCAACACAAGCTCTGGGCTCCGCTTACCTCTCGGCTGCATATTCTGTCTGCACTGATAAGCTCCCTGAGACAAATCTATACCTGTGATCATTAACACAAATCATTACGAGGAAGGACTTGGATTTATAGACATCACCTTTTCTTGGCAGTTAAAAGACTGATTCACGTTTTTAATCACGGATCCAAAAGGGGTGCAGATCGGCAGCTGGGTCTCCAGCACAACCCTCCACTGCGTTGCAAAGGCTCACCCAGAAACCCTTTAACGGGATCTCCAGGGGCATTCGGCGGTGGTCTGGGAGGGGGCAGAGGCTGAGGGCCAGCCCCTTCTCACCTGGCCAACCAGCGGCACTCCTTACCACAACCTCGGACCGCCTCCAGGGTCCCCCTCCGCCCTCTCTCGTCTCACTCCCTCCTTCCCTTTCCCAGGCTCCAGCCACACCTGTCTCCTTGGCCCTGCACCTCAGGGCCTTTGCCCATGCTGTTCCTGTTGCTTGGAAGGCTTCCCCCCAGATATTTACAATGTCCAGTAGTAGTCACGATGAGAAGGGAAATCGAATTTACAGGAGAAGGAAAATGTGCAAGGCTCGAGCGCTGCCCAGAACAGCAGCCATAAGCCGACAATGTCCCCTGGACCCCTGACAGGTGGACCCGTCCCAAGGTGTGTTCTAAGCGTAAAATACACGCCGGATTCTGAAAACACTATAAAAGACACAAACTATCTCATTGATGATTTCTTATAGTGATTCCATGTTTAGGTGATGAGAACTTGGACAGAGTGGGTTAAACAAAATACGTTATCAAAATTAATTTCACCGGTTTCTTTGTACTTTTTTAAAAAACACAGCAGTTAGCTCTGGCTGGTGTGGCTCAGTGGATTGAGCATGGGCTGAGAACCAGGGTGTCGCCGGTTCAATTCCCAGTGAGGGCACATGCCTGGGTTGTGGGTCAGCTCCCCAGTAGGTGGTGCGCGAGAGGCAACCACATTCTGGTGTTTCTCTTCCTCTCTATCTCCCTCCCTTTTCCTCTCTCTAAAAACAAATAAATAAAATCTTTTTAAAAAACGTAGTAATTAGAAAATTTTAAATTATTTATGTCATCTGCATCTACGGCTGGCGGTGTAATTCCACAGGGCAGTGCTGGTGTGGGGTTTGGCGTGGAGAAACGTCTCCCACAGAATCAGTCAATTCAACAGGGAGAAGACACAGGTGAGGAGAGCGCCTCCCAGGTGGGCTGGAAATGGAGGTGCAGCTGGAGCCAGGGGAGCGGAAGGCCAAGTGAGACTTTCTGGAGACCTCCTCGGTGGCCTCAGTTACGGGGTCTGCTCCCCACACAAGTGAAGGCACCCACGGCGTGGGTGGAGGAGGCCAGGGTCTGGCTGAGGAGGGCGGGCCGGGCGGAGCCAGGATGTTTCACACAGTGAACCCAGGATGCGGCCAGGGGTGCTAGTGTGGGAAGTGAAGGGGCTGTGCAGAGGCCCTGAGCTGGGGAAGCCCTTGGGTGCCGTGGCCGGCAGCGCCTGCCGTGCTCGCCAACAGTGCAAGTGGACTGCACCCGGGCCGGCGCCCCGGTCCTCACCGGCTCTGCCTGGAGCCCACAGTGCTGCGCGGGGAGGCGGCTCGGGACCAGCAACACCCAAGCTCACCCTCCTGAGGGTGAACTGGGAACTGGGTCAGGTTCCTGCCCCTGGATGCCACCCAGGAGAGCTGAGCCCACCCACAGCTGTGGAGCTGGGTGGAGCGGGTGTCCGAGGGTGGATGTGTGGGTTCACGTGCACGGCAGGGGGAGGGCTCACCTCCTCTGACAGCCCCTCCCTGATGCGCAGTCCGACCAGCACCCCCCCTCCCACCGCGCCACCTTCCGTGTCACAGGAGCACTTCTCCTCGAAGTCATTTTACACATGGACCTGAACTTGGACTCGCAGGGATTACGTGCCTCCCTCACTCCATGGGACCAGGCGTTGCACCTTTTTTACCCGTTATTGAAGTCCTGGGCCCTAGAACACCACCCGGCATGTGGCGGAAACTCCACAGAAATGAGATGAAAACCTGGACTGGTCTCAACACGTCTTCTTCAGCAGACCTTGGAGAAACCCGGGAAGGGTTCTGCCTTGGGAAAAGGCTGGAGACCCCTGACCTCGAGGAGCCAGCTGCAAAGCCACAGGAGTGGGGCAGCCCTGCCCCTGTGACTTGGTTAAACCCCCTGGAAATGGATTCCACTGGCCGCCATGAGCATCTGGCGTCAGGAGGCTCAGTCCCAGCAGGTGGCCCCGGGGAGATGCCGCCCGCTGGCCCGGCGTGCTTACCGAGCTCCACGTCCTGGTCGTCGGTGAGCACCAGGATGATGTTGGGGCGGATGTTGCGGCGGTCCCTCTGGAACCTGCCTTTCAGGCGGTGGTGTGACAGGAAGGAGGAGCTCCCGCCGAGCAGAGGGAGCACAGCTGCAGAGAGCAGGCACAGCAGGAGGCTGGGGCGGGCCATTTTCTGTCTCCTGCAGGGGCAGGAGTCTGGAGCTGCAGCTGGCCGACTCGCGTCTTTGCCCTCTTCTCTCTCTGCTCACGGATCTGAAGCAGCAGGAGAAGAATCAGGTCAGTCTCTGCGCCCGGGCTGCCCAGTGGCTCAGACTCACACCGTGACGGGCACCATGGCCTCGGGCAAGGGCAGTGACAGCTTCTCTGATCAGGGACAGCTCAAACGCCTAACTCGGGCCCCGAGACAAGGAAAGTGCTTGCAGTCCGCTCAGGCAACAGAGGCTGCTGGAAGAGGCTTCTGTGACCACCGCTGCACCCGGGGTTGTCCCCTGGACCAGGGAGCAGCAGTCGCTGGACGTGTTGGTGGCCGGCTTGCTCAAGTCCCAGATCAGATCAGCCTGTCACCGAACCACTTTGACAGGCAAATCACCCCCAGGGAAAGGAAAGGAAGAAGCCAGCTTTGGGGGAGCAGACATTCCAGGTCGCCTCCTCTCTGTGGGCCCCGTGGGGGATGGTGCAGAGGGGAGGTGGCTGCAGCCAGGCTGGAGCCAGCGAGGGGCTCAGGCAGGGGGTCCCGACAGCGGGGCAGGAACGGCTTCCGCGCTCTCGGCTGGACGCCGCCTCCTGCGTGTCAGTCCTGACTCCACCACTCAGCAGCTCGGTTCCCCACCCGTCCGCCGGCGGGAGCATGGGGAGCCACGGCTACTACAAGGACCCAGCCCGGTCGGGGTGTGTGTGAAGGCTCCCTGCCAGCAGCCCCCGGAGCTGCGTGAGTGCTTCGTATCAGTTTTCAGTGGCTGAATAAAGAAGATGACAGAAGAGACACTCGAGGGCTGAGATGCTGAGAGCGAAGGACGGTCACATGCCGCTGAGACCTCCGTCACCCCCCACCCCTCTCCGCCCCGGAGCGGGTCGCAAGCAAAGGCCGGGGAGGCGGCGCGAGGGCAGGGCTCGGCCGGCAGGTCTCTGCTCGCGCTCTGCTCTTTGGTCTCCGCGGTCATTTTTCTCCTCCTCGAGGAAATGAGCCTTCAAGTCTCGCCCAGATATAGACTCTCGGTCTCATTTATTTAAGGGGAGAGAGGGAAAGAGCGAGCGAACGGACGTGTTGAGAGGAAACCGAACTCACTGAAGTCGGGCTGAGTCACCGTCCTCGTGACCTTGAAGGACCGTGGGGAGTCCCCTGCCCCCCAAGTCAAGGCTCAGGGAACGCGGAGAGGGCCCCGGTGTCCACAGAGCGGAATCTGCTGCCTTTGTCTTGGGTCCCAGGGACCACTGAACCCTCTGATGGTCTCCCCCGTGCCCCCGACACCACCCCCTGCCATTCCCCAGGGCAGCCAGCGTGAACTTCCTAAAATTCAGACTGTTTTGTACCACTTGGCGATGCGCTTAGCGCACAAAATTAAAGGGGCATCACTCCAGGTGGCAAGAGAGCAAGGTACTGATCTCACCTTAGCCCCAGGCCTTTCACTTACCTGCTCAGACCCTCCCCCGGCTTCTCCTGGCTCAGGGGAATAAGATGCAAACTCCCTGCCAGGGTCACCACAGCCTCCGGGACCTGGCTCTTGCCCACCTCTGCCCCTTCCTCTCAACGGCTCTCCGGCCCCACTGGCTTCTTTCTGTTGCTGGAATAAGTCCAGCTTGTTCCTGCCCCAGGGCCTTTGCACTTGCTCTTCCTTAAACTTGGAGGAGTCTTTCTCCAGATTCTGTAATGATGGGCTCACTCACTTCTGACAGGTCTTGGCACAAATGTCACCTTCTCGGAGAGGCTGCGGTGACACCTGTTTCCATATACTCCCAGCCCAGGCATTCTCTGTGTTTTATAACCTGCTCTATTTACTGCATAACCCTTACTACAGCCTACAACTGTCTGATGTATCGCCCAGTTCTTCTCCCCAGTGGAGGGTCGGCTCCATGAGGACAGCAAGGGGGCCTGTGTTCATCACAGAGTGCTTAGCACAGGGCAGGGGCCAAAGACATAGTCGTATAAATAAAGGAGATGATGTGCTGTTTTTATGGTCCGCTGAGTTCTGCAGAGCGAGGGGCACTGGGCTCGGCAGGGCTGCACCATAACCTGGGTCCAGAGGCTCAGAGGCCTCTACCAGCAACATCCGCCCCGTCACCCCTCCTGAGTCTCCAAGGAGGAGCGGGACACTCTGAATCCTCTGGGCCTGCCACGGTGAGAAAGGCCCCAGGAAGGGTCAGGGGCGGGCGGCCCCTCCTCCGAGCCCCCCCCTCCGAGCCGAGCCCCGGGAAGCAGAGCTCTGCGCACTGCCTCTCCGGCCTCCTGCTGGTTCTGCCAGCGGAGGGCCTGCTGGGAGGCTGCAGGGCAGGCGCAGGCGGCCAATCAGCAGACCTGCTCTCCTCGGCTCCCTCTCCCGCGAGCGGTGGCGGTGGTTCCCAGTCCCTTTGTCTCTCCAGTCTGGCCTCAGTTCCAGGGGGGGCCCTCTCGGCCCCAGCTCTCCCCCGCTTCTGGGCACCCGTCCCTCCTCCTGCCCCTTTGCGCTTGGAGGCAGTCATGCCCCCTCTCCCTCACTAGTTCCTGGGAGCTGCGTCACTCCTGTCTGCTCCCGTACCCCCACCCAGTCTCGGAAAACAGCGCCTTCAATCCCCTCTCCCTAGGGGAGGCTGGGAGCAGGGGGCAGGCCCCACACAGGGCCCCCCTCCCCGGGGGCCTCCCACAGGGCGTCTGTGCAGAGAAACGAGAGGGGAGTCACATTCTCAGGGGAGCTGACTGAGGACTGTGAGCTCCAGGGGACTGGAGGGCAAGCGCCGACTTCCACCTTCAACCCCAGAGTCAGCTGAGACTCGTACCTCTCAGCAGCTGGAACCCTGCACCCGCTGTGTACCAGGCACCCGCTCTGCACCACGTCGTGTGGTGGCCATGACGGGGACTTTGGAGTTACTTGCTGGTGACCCTGGCCAAGTCACTTAACACCTCTGTGCCTCAGTGTCCTCATCTATGAAATGGGGGTAAGGGATGAGCGAGTTGATGCGGAGTGCTGAGACGGCTGGTGCCTGGCACGCGCCACCACCCGGAACACGTGACCAGCAGTGTGAACCGTCACTAGAGTGTCAGCGTCGCTGCGGCTGGGTCTGGCGCCAGGCACTCTGTCCGCAGCATCTCAGGCAGTCCCCACGCCCGCCCTCTCGCGCAGGCGCTAGGACCCCCCGCCCTTACAGCTGAGGACGACTGAGGCCTAATCACCGTCCTGAGGTCACCCAGAGGGAAACTGGCAGAGACAGGGTTTGGCTTCCACGCCCGCCACTCAGCGTGGGCCCCCACCCCTGCACTCACGGTTCCCAGCTCCTTCCACGCATGCGCCCCAGTCCCGACTTCTGCCCCCTCGGCACAGCCCTTCCGTCACACGCGCTTCTTTAAATGACCCCACTTCACAACAAACCCACAAACACAGGTTTCTGAAAAAGGAGACTCTGGGTCCGGGAACACACGGAAAACCAGCAGACCTCCCCTGCAGGACCAACCACACAAACAAGGTCAAAGAAAACAGACAAACAGACCCGGTGCTGCTCGGTGTAACAGCACCTAGTTCGTGGTGAAGGCTCCAAGCCTGGCCCTGTGCTCGCCTGCTCTTGAACTTGCCCTCTCTCTCTCTTCAGGGGAGATTCGCAGGCAGCGCATGAGCACCACCTCTCCTGGAGGTCACCGGAGGCCTCGAGGGCTGAAAAGGACATAAGCTCTAGCCAGCGAGCGGGTCCCTGAGTTATCCCAGACCACCACGGGTCCTCAGATCATGTGGGGTACCGGTCCATGTCCCCCCGGGGAAACACGCCAGGATGCTCTGTGCTTTGCACATCCACAAAGACACATTCGTGCCCCTTCAGGTAGACATCGAGGGACAGAATGTCAGAGAACCTCGAAGAGATGCCCTACGAACAGCAACTCTCTAATACCGGGAACAATAACAGCAAAGGCTTATTGAGAGCTTGCAAAGCTCCCGCCCGCTCTAAGCATTTTACTCACATCGACTCATTTCACCCGCATGTCCACCCATCAAGAGTATTGCACCCGTTTTATGAATGAGGAAGCTGAGGCCCAGAGAGCGGAAAACGCTTTCTCACGATCACATGGTTTAGGAAATGGCAGAGAGCGAGTCTGGCTCGAGCCAGCCTGCTCAACCAGAACCTCCTAGAAGCAGATCTCTGGGCCAGTTCCTGAGCGTCTCTTAGCCTCAGGCTCCTCATGTGCCACCTGAAGCAGCAGGAGGCCACCAGGTGCCCCCCGAGGGCCTTCCGGCTCTGCGGTGTGAGGTCCAGGGCAGCTGGGGGCTGCAGCCTGCCTTGGGGGCCCTGGGCCCGATGGCAGGTGGAGCTGGTCCTCTTAGCGCCCCCGCCCCACCGCTCCCCGGCAGCTCTCACGAGCCAGCCAGGCTGCTGCTCCTCTGGGTGAAAGTAAAGCTCTGGGACCAGAGACTGGAGAACAGGAGCTAATTATTTCATCAGATCAAGTCATCAATAGGTCGATTTTTGATGAATTGCCCGGCTCCAACGTCCCTGGGCCTCGTGCCAGCCTCTCTCCAGATGCTGAAGGAATCAATTAGAACTGACACCGGGGATTCTGCCTCCATTTTTCTTCTTCTTGGTAAGAGATTCAAAGCGGCTGAGCCGAGAGAGGGCCTGGTGGCTTCGCACAGCTGACCGACGCTCTGTCCGTCCGTCCCACCACGCCTCTTCTCGTTCCCACCCGCTCCTTCTCTTCATCCTGTGACTTCCCACGGCCCTGCCTCCCATGCCAGATGACATCTCGGCAAACGTCTGATGTCCCAGGCATCAACTCTGCTTCTGGATCTATCTGCCCATCTGCAGAGAGGAGCAGGTCTCGGGGTGAAGGACACCCCCCAACCCTGCACACTACCACCTTGGGGAGCACCCAGGACCTCACCCAGGTCTGTCTGGACAGACCCAGAGAGCGGCTTTCCTTGGAGGACCCCCAGATCCCACGAGAGGAGGCGAGAGGAGTTTGGGAAGGATCAGACAGCCGAGGCGCGGGGGAGGGGAAGACGTGGCCAGAGGCAGAAGCAGGCATTGGCCAGACAGGAGAACTCCAGCGGGAGGCGGGAGGAAAGGAGACCATG